TGCAAAGCGCCACCAACTTAAGTTCTTGATCAGTGGGGGATACTGGAAGAATGGCAGCAACAGGTACATCTCTATATGGCATAAAACACTGTATGTAAGGCATTACAGCCTGTTGTGTGTTGTACTTGAACATTGTGGTTATTTCCATTTTAGGAGATGTGCTTCAAAAGAATTGATCCAAATAACCCAGCAGCCAGCTTTTCAGAAATTTATGTACCAGGTGGAACCAAAAGCATCAGGCTTAATGCACAAGGAAATTTACCAGCCTGGAAGCCTACGTCTGGTAAGTTCTAATATGTGGTACATACCATAAGACATGTTGACATAACAAGCTTTGCCAGGGAGCTTTGCCATTTGTCATTTACTCAGCTTCACAAATTAACTAAAAAGCAAATAACTCTTTAAATTTTCACCTAGGGAAATTGCAAAAATGGAAAGATGCGCATTGTCACTGTAGACATTCTGCCAACCACACAGGTCACAGTTCAAGAAGATATCAACATGCAGAATGTGAACTTGCAACCAAAGTGCAAAGAATTCAAAGCATGTGTCGCACAAGACAAGAGTCTTATACATAAAGGAGACGTTTTTGCATACTACAACCGTAACAATGAGGTATAAACATTGTAAAAATTTAGATTTTGTCAACAGCTCTGCATTTTCACCACACCGGCAGCATAATTGTGAATAACGACTCAACAATTTGTATACTATTACTAATAGTTTTGTACCACTGATGTATGTGGCACTCATCAGATAAGTCAGCCTACTCATTGATTAGTATATACATTATTTTCATAGGCTTGCTTTGGAAAATTTTGCACATCAGTACAATTTTCATTGGATGGTGTTACAGAAAATTGGGTGCTACTTGCAGAGTTCAAAAAGAAGATTGATGATAATGGCAATATAGTATACGGGAAATTCAGATCACCGTTGCTTGAAGAAACAGAAACAAAAAGATTGATACCATCTACAGCCTTGTTGGAGAAAGTAAGTGTGGTACATAACTGTGACTACCAATGTGGATTTGTGGATGCCGAGATGCCTGTTGTAGAGGAAAGAGAAGTTACCAACAAAGATAAGCATATATTTGAACATGACCAATCTAACAAAGTACACATGTTAATGTTCCCTCCGAGCAACAACGTGGCGTCGTTGACAGGTCGTCATTCCCATTAAATGGAACTTCGGCGGGAAAATCCAATATGACGCGTAATACGAACCCTACGTGTTTTCGTTGCCTTAGACCAGGACACTTCGCGAGGGATTGTAGAGCAGCAAACACAACCCGAACAGTTACATTCAATGGAGTGCAACCAGGAACACTTGCACAACAACCAGCTTCCCAATGAATGGGAGAAAGATAACTTTATAAATAATGTAACCATGGAAAATTTTAAATCAGGGGAGTCGTTGAATTGTGTTAATAGTTTTGTTAATGTTGAGAAATTGGACATAAACTCGAGTTCAAAAGTGAAAGGTCGCTTACGAGAAAATATTTCATTCTGGGAAAGCATTGGTGCAAACAATTGGGTACTAAAAATTATTCGGGTAGGGTATTCCCTGCCATTCATTGACATGCCTAAACAAGTGACACTAGCTAATCACAACAGTGCACTTGGGGCATCTAACTTTGTGTCAAAAGAAATTGAGAAACTTTTATTGTCAGGAGCATTGGTCGAAGTTAAAGAACAGGAGGTGACAGTGTGTAGTCCATTGGGAGTTGTGTATAATCGTTCTGGGAAACATAGACTGATTTTAGACTTGCGCTATGTAAACAAGCACTTGCGATCTTGTAAGTTCAAGTATGAGGATATTCGAACAGCAACAACCCTATTCACCCAAGGGGACTGGTTTTTCAAGTTTGATTACACCAGTGGTTATCACCACATAGAGATTTTTCCTCCCCATACCACTTTTCTTGGTTGTTCGTGGAAAGTTAATGGATCTCAAAATTTTTTTAAATTTACTGTCTTCCCATTTGGCCTATCGACCGGTCCATATGTATTTTCGAAGATACAACGAGTTTTAGTGAAGCACTGGAGAGGGAAAGGTATTAGAATCTTTACATACCTTGATGATGGTGCTGGAGCTGAGTCTAGCAAAGAGGAAGCTCAGAAAACATCTATGTTGGTGCAGCACGATGTGGCACAGAGTGGGTTTGTAGCCCATAACGACAAGTGTCAATGGGAACCCTGTCAGTCAGGCGAGCTGCTGGGCTTTATTATGGATCTGCAGTCAGGTACATTTTCTGTCCCCCCCAAAAGAGTGGAACATCTTCGAAGGGTACTTCAGGAGATTACTGTACAGGAGTTCATCACGTCTGCAAGAAACCTTTCACGTCTCACTGGGCTTTTGGTGTCAATGGGGCTGGCACTGGGACCTGTAGTGCGCCTTCGGACCAGGGGGCTATACAGACAATCCTCCAATCCCTATTTTGGGATATTGTATCTACAATTTCAGACGAGGCCAAGAGGGAAGTTCAGTTTTGGACAGAGAACTTTAATAATAGTGGTTACCCCATATGGTCTCCCAGTCCAAAAACCGAAGTAATAACTTACTCTGATGCCAGCAATACAGGCTGGGGTGGTTATGCTGTTCAGATTGGTGAAATTTCAGCTACTGGTTGTTGGTCGGAAGCCGAGGCGAAAGAGAGTTCAACATGGAGGGAGATCAGAGGAACTAAGTTGGTATTACACTCATTGCTGAGCAAACTTTCTGGCAAGGAAGTGCTACACAGGACGGACAACATGAACACAGTACGTATCATGTCAGTGGGAAGCAGGAGGCAAGCTCTACACCAGGAGGCCATTGAGGTATACAAACTTTGCCAAGCTAACAACATTCGGTTATCAGTAGAATGGGTGAGTCGTGATGAAAATGAGCTGGCTGATGCATTATCAAGGATAGACGATGCAAATGACTACAATCTAGACCAATCGGCATTTCTCCAACTGGAGGACCGTTGGGGTCCCCATACTGTTGATCGCTTTGCAAGTGTAAAAACCAAGCTATTGCCCCGTTTTTGCAGTCAATTCCTAAACCCGGGGTGTGAGGCAGTGGATGCATTTACTGCCAATTGGGCAGGTGAGAACAACTGGATTTTCCCCCCACCATATCTCATCCCACGAGTGCTACAACGCATGGCTGCAGGAAAAGAAACTGGAACAATAATTTTACCAGAATGGCATTCAGCTCCATGGTGGCCTCTATTAGTGACAAAGGAAGGATTGTGGAAAACCTTTGTAAAAGATAGCTGTACATTTGAGCCATACGATGGTATCCTGGTCCCTGGTTCAGCGGCAAGCAGCCAATTTGCATCAGGCATACCTGCATATTCTATCCTCGCGCTGCGAGTCCAGTTCTTTTAGGGGGTATAGCATTGGTGAGTACTTGTCTGGGACAAATATCAGGCCATGAGGGGTAAAGATTACTTGCTGGGGGCAACAAATGCCTGTTATGGGCACGAAATGCCTGTTAGGGGCAAGAAATGCCTGTTAGGGGCAAGAAATGCCTGTTATGGGCAAGGAATGCCTGTTAGGGGCAAAGAATGCCTGTTAGGGGTAAGGAATGCCTGTTAGAGGTAAAGTATGCCTGTTAAGGGCAAAGAATGCCTGTTAAAGGCAGACTGCCTGTTAGGGGCAAAGAATGCCTGTTCGGGGAAAAATACTTGTTATGGCACAATGTTGCCTTTTAAGCCATTTAACATGCATGATTGATTGTGTTTTAAGTTGTGCGACGTGCTTTAGAGACGGTTTTACTACCAGCAACTATTAATCCTGCACACTTCGAAGACCCAGAGTTGGCTGAATTGGCTCGCGTTCTGCCTGGTATCTTAAGCCGTGTTTACACGAAGGGGCTGACATTTACCTGACATTTGCCCGTACCTGAGAAGTACCTAACCAAGTTTTACAGGGTGTGTTTACACCAGTTACCTAACGGGACTTATATAAATCACGCAACATAAAGTACTGTGAGAAGAGTATTAAAATATAAGTTTGCAGTTCTTTGTTTGTTTATTTCGTACAAACTACAAAGACTCGTAAAAGAATACGACGTATAACTGGGATTACTGGCAAACAACGATTTCATGCAAAATTAAAAAATATATGATATATATTCGGCAACGGTTCCGAAATTCGCCATGTGGCTAATTATCAACTCTGAATTTCCCCATAATTTTTGCAAAATCGCGCTAAAATTCTAAGACCGCTAAATGCTGACATCAAAGACTCGAATTTACGTTTGTTGTCAAGGAAATTAGCTTCGATTACACTTGGGTCAATGAAAATGTGTTTACACCACCAGAGTGACCTGAGACTTACCTAGGACTTACCTAATATCATGTTTTCAGGCCACCTCTAATGCTTGGCCTGAAATCATGGTCTTAGGTCGGTCCTAGGTCGGTCTTAGGTCAGTCCTAGTGCGTTTACACTACAGGACTAACTGCTTAAGTTAGGTCTTAGGTCAGGTATAGGTCTCTAGTGTAAACACTGCTTTAGTTCAGGACAAGGCAGAAAAAACGGTATCTACATATGTGAATGCTTTTGGCAGATGGAAAGAATGGGCTATGCATCATGACGTGGTGGCCTTGCCAGCAGACCCGGTAACTTTTTCCTTGTATTTAGTATATCTAATCCAGCAAGTTAGATCCATAGCAGCCATTAACTCAATTGTTTATGGTGTTAGCTGGGTTCATAAAAGAGTAGGTTTGACGAGCTCTCGCAGCAGCCTTTAGTAAAGCAAGTTGTGGAAGCAGCACGGCGGATCCTGGCTAGACCTGTAAAAAGAAAGGTTCCTCTGGAAACGGACATGGTACGCAAGTTAGTGCAACGGTTGCAGCAAGGAAATCTTGCGGAGCTCCAGTTAGCAACACTAATTGCGTTAGGATTTTTTGGGTTTCTTCGCTGGGATGACCTTAGCAATCTCACATTTGACAGCATACAATTTGAAAGATCTCATATGGCTTTTTTTTGGAGAAACGGAAGAACGACCAATTCAGGGAAGGCTCGTGGGTCTTCATTGCTAACTCCGACGTGCAACCTTGCCCAGTAGCTGTAGTAAGGAAATTTGTAGAACTGGGCCGACACAAGGCTGGGTCCAAGCTATTTCGGCGGGTCCAGCATACAAAAAATGGCTGGAAACTCAAGGAACAAGGAATGTCTTATAGCCGTGCCAATCAGCTACTGAAGGAGGAGTTAAAGAAGGAAGGGTTATGCAACAAACGCTACAGCATACACAGCCTACGTTCGGGTGGAGCATCCGCAGCAGCAGCTATAGGTGTGCCTGATCGGTTATTCCAACGACATGGCGGATGGAGAAGCGAGACAGCAAAGAATAATTATTTCAAGGAATCGCTTGACTCATTATTGCTTGTGACTAAATCTATACAAAATCAGCGATGACATTACTCTATGAACTAGAAACTCTTTGACATTGTTAAGTTTGGTTATAACAATTGGACACGCTCTATGCGTTTTGCTTTGCGAGCAAGGCATCCCACCCGGCAGTGTGTGTGAAGTGTGATTTTCTGCTGGCTGAGGCACGAAAGAGGCAGAAAATGTTTTTCATACACACTGCTGGGGGGAAGGCTTATCTACAGGGGGTCGGGGGGGGAAGTTCAGTTTTTGTTTTGCTAGCAGGCCTGACCTAAAATCCCCACCCACCCACCCTGAGCAGTAATTCAGTTATAATTGTAGGGTTTTGTAAAAACTAAGTTTTAGTTAAGGATGCAATGTAAATGATGAGAGATGAGGATTTATTAAAGGTCAGGGGCGAGCAAGGCATCCCACCCGGCAGTGTGTGTGAAATTATGATTGCACATTTTAATACATCACTGAACACGTTGCACATATTTCACATGTTTAGGGTTAACAAATTTTTAAAAATTGATTCACAATGACATCTTATATTCAATGTTTTATATATTTAATAAGACATTTTTACTCAAATGAAATATATGGTATCAGCCTATTACTCGTACTCGTTGTGTACACACAAGAATAATTTTTAGAGTTTACACTCACCTTCGGTATTAACCTGCACTTTGTAAAATTGTTTTTAATATCTTGTAAATGTTTATATTTGTTATAAAGTACACAGCTCAAACTTTCTATCAACATGTTGTTTGTTTGTTCTTTGAAACCCCCCCCCTGGAAAATACGCAAGTGTATTTTTACTCGCGGCGCCCAGTTTGTAGCAAGCTTGATGAAACAATCTTGTTACAGATAGAATTTGACAAGTTGCTACAGTATATTTTCAACAAGCTTGCTACAAGTTGTTCACAACCTTGTTACAAATTGTTAACCCGCTTGCTACAAACGTGTTACTAACAGCTTGCTACAGTATTGTCACAACAGTCTTGCTACAAGTTCGTCAACAAGCCCCCAAAAGTCCGTCGCAACAAGCTGTTATTGCCAGTGCGAAGACATCCTGTTGACAAGTTGTTGGGACAGATTTGGGACAAGTTGTCTGCAGGCTTGTTACAATTTGTGCGTTTTTACGTGTGTACTCGCACTTTGCTACACACCTAAAAATCTCACATGTTGTTGACAACTTGTTAGCTCAACAAGCTTGTAGCAAGCTTGTTGACAAGTTGTAACAAGCTTGTTGAGACAACAGGTTGTAGCAAGCTTGTTGACATCAAGCTTGCTACAACTTGTTGGCTTGCAGACTTGTAGCAAGTTGTTGGAACAACTTGTTCCAAGCTTGTCGACAACAAGCTGTACCAAGCTTGTTGGAGCAACTTGTTGACAAGTTGTTATAGTCATCAAGTTGTAACAAGCCTGTCACAACAAGCTTGTACGAAGGCTGCGCGTGACAATGCTGTAACAAGACAGTTCCAACAAGTTGTAGCGACATTGTTAACGGCAAAGGTTTTCCGATAACAACAAAATCAATTTGAACTGGGCCAAATATGATTTTATTGATCATTGCCATTCATCAAATGGCAAAAGCAAGATCAGCGAGCTTTTAAACACTTTAACACTCTGCAACGAAGTTCATAACTTCTTTTAGTAATAAGATTTGAAAAGAATCCGAATTCCTTGAAAACATTACAGATAAACATTTCCTTGTTTCAAGGATATCTATAACCGTTGAACCGTTGAGGAAGTGACGATTTCAACGGAGTAATCTCATTGGTTCAGACTCTGTTTAAACTATGTATAAGTGATCTTATTGGTTGAAATATACGTCAGTATATTTGCAAATTTCCCTGCTCTTTTCAAGAGTTCACTGATTCACCTGGTCATTGAGCTATCTTTGTGCCAAAAAGGCAACTTAAAAAAGTTTGAAGAATACTACAGTTCGACGTTTTAATAAAGGTATGTGCGTTTAATTCATCCAAATATTTAATATGGCGTACACAACGCCGGCAACACAATTTATTATAGTACACAAGCTAGCCTTTTAAAACTATATAGTTTTTAAAATATTTGTTGAATTTATTGCTTTTTATAAACATTGAACTGTTAGTTTCTGTGGATATTTATCAAAATCGAAACTTTGCCGGTTTTTTGTATTCAATAATTCAAATATTTTTAATGACGAGTAGGTGTGCGGTAAAGTGCAAAATTTCCTATTTTTAATATCTGTGCGTATGTTTTTAGCATGCTCTGATTAGAAATAATAATATATATTTACGTATTATGGTAATAAAGTATTTGTACATTACTTATTTGACATTAGACTTGGATGGCAAGCAAGATCCTCGCCACAGGAGACAGGATGGAGTTTCCTCAACGTATTTGCAAACCAGTTTCCTCAAAAATATTTGCATATTTTTTAAAGTAACTGATTCCTGAAGCCAATTCAAGCCATTGTATATTATACTTTATAGGAATTTGATTATAAAACTGGAGCTAAACTGAGGTATTGGCCGGAAAGTCGTATCAAACAAAGTGAATTATAGGAAAGAGGTGCAGATAGCTGTTGATTCTTGGGATGACGAAGTCAATTCAACAAGTGACTGAAATACTGGTGTTATACAAGAATATTCATGCACCAGTTAATTTTTACCGTATGAATGCAAAGAAACTTTTCTTACGAACTGATTATTAGGCTATATACTCAGAAAGGAAAATACATATGTTCTTGTACTGAGCCTTTAGTAATCTTGGTACTTCAAGTGTGAAGTTTGCATGTATTTAAGTGCTAACCTTTGAATTTGTTTTTAAAATAATATGATTTTTACATTAAACTTTGTGTTGTTTGTTCTTTGTTTCACAATCTCCGGGAAAACACGCGTGTTTTCAAGCGAGATTTAATGCGCGGCCATGTTTGCAGCAAACTTGTCGCGACAAGCTTGTAACGGCCTTGTTATAACAAGCTTGGAACAGCTCAAGTTCAACAAGCTTGTAGCAAGTTGTTGTCAGACTTGTAGCAAGCTTGTTGGCAACAATCTTGGTACAGCATTGTCACAACAAACTTGCTACAAGTCTGACAACAACTTGCTACACGTCCGTCACAACAACTTGGGACAAGCGGTGCGAATAAATCTTGCAACAAGCTTGTTGAAACGAGCTTGCGACAAGCTTGCTGCAGGCTTGTTACAACTCGTGCGTTTTTACGTGTGTACAGTTAAGTAATATTCCCCTCACGTGCATGGAGCATGTTTCACGTGCACAGTCAGCATACACACGTAAAAACGCACAAGTTGTAACAAGTCTGCAGCAGACTTGTAGCAAGCTTGTTCCAACAAGCCGATATCAGGTTGTGTTCGCACTGCTTGTCCCAAGCTTGTTTTGACGGACTTGTAGCAAGTTGTTGTCAGACTTGTAGCAAGTTTGTTGTGACAATGCTGTACCAAGGTTGTTGCCAACAAGCTTGCTACAAGTCTGACAACAACTTGCTACAAGCTTGTTGAACTTGAGCTGTTCCAAGCTTGTTATAACAACTACACACGTAAAAACGCACAAGTTGTAACAAGTCTGCAACAGACTTGTAGCAAGCGTGTTCCAACAAGCCGATATCAGGTTGTGTTCGCACCGCTTGTCCCAAGCTTGTTGTGACGGACTTGTAGCAAGTTGTTGACAGACTTGTAGCAAGTTTGTTGTGACAATGCTGTAGCAAGGTTGTTGCCAACAAGCTTGCTACAAGTCTGACAACAACTTGCTACAAGCTTGTTGAACTTGAGCTGTTCCAAGCTTGTTATAACAAGGCCGTTACAAGCTTGTCGCGACAAGCTTGCTGCAAACATGGCCGCGCATTAAATCTCGCTTGAAAACACGCGTGTTTTCCCGGAGATTGTGAAACAAAGAACAAACAACACAAAGTTTGATGTAAAAATCATATTATTTTAAAAACAAATTCAAAGGTTAGCAATTAAATACAAACTTCACACTTGAAGTACCAAGATTACTAAAGGCTCAGTACAAGAGCATATGTATTTTCCTTTCTGCATGAGTATATAGCCTAATAATCAGTTCGTAAGAAAAGTTTCTTTGCATTCATATGGTAAAAATTAACTGGTGGCGGTGCATGAGTATTCTTGTATAATACCAGTATTTCAGTCACTTGTTGAATTGACTTCGTCATCCCAAGAATCAACAGCAAATGGTTTGCAAATACGTTGAGGAAACTCCATCCTGTCTGCTGTGGCGAGGGTCTTGCTTGCCATGAATGCCATCCAAGTCTAATGTCAAATAAGTAATGTACAAATACTTTATTACCATAATACG